GTGTGTTTGAGATGTGTGTGTACCCTCTCGTCATCAGGCATGTGTGTTTTCTCCTGCTGCTCCAGGCCTCTGATAGTAGCTTGTAGGTCTGATTCGAACAGCTGCAGCTGTGAAGAGGAGAGAAGAGGAGCAGACCTCCCGTCTGCCACCTCCTGCTGCGGCCGCACTGCCTCCTGTCTGACCTCCAGACCAGCAGACACCTGAACACAACACACACACACACTCAGCACTGGCTAATGAGTGTCTCTCCAGCGCCGCGGCTGGAAAACAAGCTCCTCTCAGGCCTGTGCTGAGCCGCTGGAGTCGTACCTGAGCAGAGCTGATGTGCTGCGCCACCTTGTGGAAGCTGCGGTTGAGGTCAGCCAGTTTGGGCTCCACCAGCTCTCTGCACACAGGCCCCCTGCTGGTCATCAAGATTACTGCCTGATCACGAGCGCTGTCCACATGCACACTCATTCCCTCCAACTCACACAGCACAGCCTGTCAGAGACACACGCAGAGCAGATTCAATGCATTAATGCATCTTAATGCAACCATGTTTCACTAAACTAGGAAAAAATTGTGTTTTTATTAACTTCTATCAAAATTTTATTACTTTCTCTGCCTCTGAAACTTTCTCTGTGCTGCCGATATAATCTTTGTCATGGGGCAGAGCAAAAATAATATTAACCAACACTATTGTAGCCTAACATTTATGATCCAAACAAATCCTGATGGATCAAATTACATTATTTTTGGTTGAATATTCACTTTAATATTCACTTTTACTCAATAGCCAAAAAACCAAGTCTGTGAGTATGTGTGTGTGTGTGTGTGTGTGTGTGTGTGTGTGTGTTTTCACCTTCATCATTCTCTCTTTCTCGGCTGCAGGCATCTTCTCCATCTCATCCAGTCGTATCTCCGTCTGATAGAGCCATGTGCTGATATGAGCCAAATTCTCATCAAACATCTCCACCTCCCGCCGGTGATTCTACAACACACACACACACACACACACACACAGAGAGAGAGAGCACGCATACAGATACAGCATCTTTAAGTAACGTAAATGTGAAATATAATAGGTAAAAAGTAGTGCTTCTAACATATACAAATGTTAATATTACCATTATTTTGCAGTTAAATGGAACTATTACGCATATTTTTCCATTTCTAAAACAATGTATGCATCTAGTATTGCTGCAGTTGATACCTCTTGGAAGAATTGGAAAAAAGACAACAAACAAACAAACACACACACACCTAACTATATATATATAAAACATTACAATATAATATATAAAACAAAAAAGGTCTCCATTCATTATTGGTTTAAGTCCTTTTCTAAGAATAACAAATATAATATAAATAATAATAACAATTATATTATATATTCTATTCTGCTCATAGGTGACATTTCAAACCTGTACAACTTTGATGTTAATGAAATTCTGCCAAACAGACTGCTAATGACTGAAACCTCCCATGTGAGTTGAGATTGCATATAAATGAGTAATTATGAAGGTCTTCCCCATCATTTACTGATAAATGAGACTCCAGACACAAGCTCTGTTGTTTGTTTGTGTGTGTGAACATACATTAGCATATTTTAGAAACAAATTGTACCCAGAAGTGAGCAAAACCTGACAAAAACCTCCTTTTCAAGACATCCACAGATGTTCTTTGTAAAAACAACACTTTTTATTTTCATTGTCATTGTTGTTGTTCTTTTTTTATTATAAAAAAACTTTAGGTTGTGGGTTACTTTATATATTATGGGTATTGTGTCAGTTTGTAACTAAAACTAAAACTATTAAAACATTTATGTTAATTGAAAAACTTGAAATAAAATATAAACATTAGATGATGAATAGAAATGTAATAGAAATGTTGCCTTGGCAGCTAATTAAACAAGTTTAAGTTGAAGTATCAATTATTAAATTACTACATAAAAAAAAAAAACTGAACTAAATCTAAAAAGGAAATAAAAATAAACCTAAACAGTACTATTCAAACAACAACAACAACAATAATAATAATAATAATACATTTATTTATTATTAATTAGTAATTCTAAAAATGCAGAAAGTATCCTGTTAGGTTAGGGTGCGGGTTAGTTTGTAGTATTTATAATTAGCTGAATATAAAAACAAAAGTCTATGAAATGTGCACATTTAGATATCTATTAGTGTGTGTGTGTGTGTGTGTGTGTGTGTGTGGCATGTGCTGCTATCCATCTAATCAGTCTTGACAAATCACACAGAACCGAATGAAGCGGTTGTTGGGATGATGTGAGCCTACATGAGTTAACTGCGTGATGTAAGCTTAACCAGTCACTCACCAGAACAGCACTGAGCCAGTCCTCGATCAGCGTGTGCACTCGCTCCCAGTCCTCATTCAGCTCAAACAGCTGATCTTCCAGCTGAGCCTCGCTGCCCTCCACTAAGGCCTGCAGGGCGGCGCTGTTCTCCATCACCACAGACAGATCGCTCTTCTTGCGCTCAGACTCCTTCAACACGCCCTACAGACAAACACTCATGTAACACACACACTCTCTGTGTAAAGACTCCATGAGCGAGCGACTGTCAAACACACTCACGTTAGCCCATGTGATCTCCGTCTCGATATCGGCAGGCATGTCTCCTGTGCTGAGCTTCTCTTTCAGCTGAGTCTCAGTGTGGCTCATCCAGGCCTGCAGGGCGGCGCTGTCCTTCTGCAGCCGCTGAGACAGAGACATGGCCTTCTCCAAATCCTGCTTCCCCTCAGTCACCTAACCACACAAAATAGCTTGCGTAACTCATTTTACTTTTGTAATGTGATGTATTTCTGAGTGGATTTTATCCACTGGAAACTGATTGGGTGGTGAAAAGTAGAAAAACAGAGGATGTGGAGGCTGAACGTAACCTTTATTTTTCAAAATAATCATTTATAATTAAGTCGCAAAATGTAAAAAAAAAAAACAAAAAAAACATGCACACTTTGCTTTTATTGCGGTTTGAAACATGTATGTGTAAATGTGCACAGTAGGGCTGTCAAAAAAAATATTTCGAATATTCGTCGAATTTAAAATACAAATCCACGTTCGCATTCGAATTTTAGTTGTGCGTCAGGCTGCCTTATCAGTGGTGCACAAGATGCGATGACGATGTAAGTGTTGCTGCTTTTTAATACTTTTTTTTAGCCTATCCAATTGAACCCACGGGATGCGGCGCTGCTGTGTTGTTTATTCAAAATATTGCGGAAAAAGAGAACCTCAATGCGGAGATGATGTTGTTTACGTCAAAACTGAAACCAAGCCGTTCACACAGAATGCATATTTATCACATTTTCCAGAGGGACATCTATCACCGTTGCACTCGCGTCTCACACAAGAGAGCCGCATGTTTGTACGTAAGTTCAACTTTTAAAAAACATGTCTCGAGACTTTATGGCGGTTAACCATGTATGTGTAAATGTGCACAGACCTGAGCTCCCAGCTCATTGTAGAGTAATTTGAGGGCGGTGAGTTGTTCGTCCATTTCTTTAGGATTTTCCGTCTGCTGTTTCTGTACGATCTGTCTTCCTGTTTTAATCACAGTCTCCACCTCCAGTTTCACCTCGCTCAAGATCTTATACAGTTTCTGCATTTATAAAAACAACACGCATACATAAACCACAAGCAGCGTGAGAGTCCATGATGAGGTGTGTTTTTCAGTGTTGTTACTGTAAAACAAACTACTAAAAAAACGATTTTGGTAGCTGGAATACAGGTGAAAATTAAATAAAATAAAATAAAAAATAAAAATATATGTTGCCCTGTCAACTATCTGAAATAAATAAGTTAAAGTTAAACATTACATTGACTAAAACCGAAATAAAAATAAAGCTATATAGAACGAAAGCCAATTCAAAATATGAATACGTACTATAATAGTAAATACATCATAATAATGCCTGTGTGTTTTCTCACCATGCATCCGTTCAGGTGGGTCTGGATCTCCTCTGGTTGCGTGTCTTTCAGGTCAAGGACGTGAAGTTCGGCTTTAGCGTTTTCCAGAGTCCTCTTGCAGTCCAGCATTCGCTGCTCAAAGTTGGCTGGTTTCTGGAACAGCTGGAATTTGGTACTAATCTCACGAAGTTTCCGCTAAAACAGAGGTACACAAGATAAACTTGATGGCTGGAATACACTACACTACTATTAAAATCTGAACAGATTTAAAAACACTACTCTGGACGATTTTGTTAATGGTTACAGAGGAAAAATTGGGACCAGTTGCATAAACATAGCCACTATGTTATGTAGCTTCATAAAATTACGGTTGAACCCCTGATGGCACATGGATATTTTACAGATCTCCCTGCTATGACTACGGGAACATTTCAGTTGTGTTGCTGTCTATGGGAGGGTCAGACAGCTCTCATATTCCATCAAAATATCTTAATTTGTGTTCTGAAGATGAACAAAGGTATTGCGGGTCTGAAACGACATGAGGGTGAGTAATTAATGACAGAATTTTCATTTTTGGGTGAACTATCCTTTTAAAGACTAGTCTAAGCGGTTTATGCAACCGGCCCCGGGGCATTGCACAGTAAAAGACTGAAGTGAATATCACACATTACTAGACTTTCATCACAGATTGCCAAACACCATGAACTCACACAGAAACAGGCAAGCATCGCGTGCTCTAAAATCAGCTCAAAATATCAAGCATGTTTAATATCCTCCAACTGGAAGAAATCATAGTCTGAAGTTATAAATATAAGTTATATATATATATATATATATATATATATATATATATATATATATATATATATATATATATATATATATACA